AAAATATACGAGACTTGAGTAAATTTCACGCTTGGTTAGCGCCATATCTCTTTAACTGGAAGGATTTTGGTCACCTCCCGATCCCCCGAAAAATTCTGAGACCGCTGTTGAACCACACCCCTCTGCTTTCTTCATGTACAAATGCAGAATGACGAAGCAAAAAAATGATTCTTTTCTAGTGTCGTCGCTCATCTTGCAGCTTTGTCTGCAAAAGTGAATAGCATCAAGATGCCATTGCCTAAGGCTCCGCAAATGGTCCCAATGTGTCGGTCGTGGCTCGCAAAATACGTCGATAATGGAGGTGGACACATCAGTCTGGAGAAAACGGCCGTTTACGGTGATATTGAAGTAAGTTCCGCCTTGCATATCGAAGCAGTTTGAGATGTCGTCCCTATATTATTCTAGGATTTAGAGAGTCAGAGGTGTGATACAGCTGAAATAATAACTACATGATAGAGGAAAATCGCTTTATTCTTTCCTGCTATTTAGTGTTTCAGTTTCCGAAGGTGCTTACTGTCGAACAGCTGCAGGACGAGCTCGACGAGATAGAACGATTTCTGGACAAACAAGAATGTCCGTCAGTGTTTTGTCACAACGATATTGTGGTACGTCAAGATGACGTTTTTGACAGAAGATGTTTCATAATCATAGTCTCCAAACTAGATTTCCAAAACCGCAATTAATGTGTGATCTTATTTTTGGAGCTTTTTTATTGACTCGTAATGGCAGATATGTTGTTTTATGGGCTTGGGGAAGGGAGAAGTGTACTGCAGCAAAAACATTCATTGGAGGACGATAAATTTTCAAAAAAATCCGGAAATGGCAGCACAGAACTTTAACACAGTTATGAAACCCAACTCATATGTCCAATTTCCAGCCTGCAAATGTTTTGTTGCGTGAGAGAGGACTTGATGAAGGCGATGTTATAGATGAAAGTAGGCTTGTGCTGATTGATTTTGAGTTCGGCAGCTATAATCACAGGTACACTTTTACGATATATAGTGCTGATTATTCGAATAAAAAAAATAAAAGAAGCTCTGTGAGAACTGTGTTTGTTGCAGAGCCTATGAGATCGCGAATAGTATGACGGAGCATGGAATGACCTACGGAACATCGAAACATCCATACTACGATACGGATACTCGAATAATGGAAGATGAAGACTTTGCGCGAACATACTGTTCCTCCTATGTGGATCAGCTATATAAGGTGACTGCGCTCGAGCTAAAGTCAAAAATTGCTTACAAGAGTTTCTGACCAAATAAGGCGCCTGAAGTACAGTGTGTAATACACAGCCATGCTCTTTATGTGTTAAGCGAATACGCAACCATCGCTCTACTTTGGAAGAGTGGCATATGCCTCGAACATTTTTTACGTAAGAACGAAGTCTTCAAGCCCAGAATTATCCATCACTGATCTGTTGTGCATCCTTATTAGGGAAAAATTGCGCAAAACCAAGGCTTTTTGATATAGAAAAATATAAACTTCTCTTAGGGTCCCCAGTCTTGGCTAGACACAATTGGGAATTCAATAACAATGTGTTTATCGGAAAAATTACTTGTTTATGTGAATTGCGTAATGGGACATTGGAATCTGAGAACTAAAAAAAAATAGTGACCGGAATTGTCACAACTTTCACTATATTACACGGTGTCCCAAAAGTCTTTATGTCTAGTTTTAGCTGAAAGTGTACGAAGCAACATAGACATATAGAATT